TCAAAGCGCTTTGCATTGTCAGGGGGTATCTCCTCATCCACCAGCAGTGTGCAGCATCCACCTGGATGATGCGACGGCAGCCATAGTGCGCCAGAACGCTCACCACACACCAGCTTACTGGTGGAGAGGAGACAGAGGGATGAAGCCAATCAGCAGATATGGGGATTGTTAGGAGGCCATGATGATCAGAGGCCAATGGGCAAATTTGGGATTTTTAATGACCACAGAGAGTCAGGACCTCGGTTTAACGTCTCATCCGAAGGACGGTGCTTGTTGACAGTATAGTGTTTCCGTCACTACACTGGGGCGTTAGGACCCACACAGACCACAGGGTGAGCACCCTCTGCTGGCCACACTAGCACCTCTTCCAGCAGCAACCTAGTTTTCCCAGGAGGTCTCCCATCCAGGTACTGACCAGCTCTGCCCTGCTTAGCTTCAGTGGTCAACCAGTCTTGGACTTACAAGGTGATATGGCTGCCGGTTATCCATTTTTCTTTTATGCCAAAAATCATTAGGATATTAAGTAAAGATCATGTTCCATGAAGATATTTAGTAAATGTCCTACCGTAAATATATAAAAACTTAATGTTTGATTAGTAATATGCATTGCTAAGAACTTCATTTGGACAACTTTAAAGATGATTTTCTCAATATTTAGATTTTTTTGCACCCTCAGATTCCAGATTTTCAAATATTGTCCTATCCTAACAAACCATGCATCAATGGAAAGCTTATTTATTCAGCTTTCAGATGATGTATAAATCTCAATTTCACAAAATTGACCCTTATGACTGGCTTTGGGGTCCAGTGTCACTTTGAATTAATTAGTGAAGGTTCTGACTGTCTTCAGAAAAGATTCGATGGCATTTTGTTTCATCTTCACTCCATGTAATACTTAATAAAGTAGTGTTTTAATCGCAATGCTTTGTGGACGGAAACGGCTGTAATTCTGCTGCTCCAGAAGCGCCCCCTGCTGTCAGAGAGTGGATTTACAGAGACTCACATTCAGTCTGTGTGCAGTTTCTGTCTGGACTAAAAACGGATTGAATTTGCATGCCCTGCTGTGAATTTTGACCGGTTGATGAAAAACAAGCTTATGTGGATTCTACACACTTAAAGGGTTAGTTCACCCAAAAATGAAAATTAGGCTGTGTTTTACTCAACCCCGAGGCATCCTAGGTGTGTATGACTTTCTTCTTTCAGATGAATCCAGTCAGAGTTATATTAAAAATGGTCTTTGATCTTTCAAGCTGTATTGTTGCACTCAGCGGGTGTTGCATTGCTTCAGTCCAAAATAAGTTAAATAAAAAGCACCCTTCCACAAAAAAAAAGTGTCTCTCACGGCTCCGGGGGGTGAACAAAGGCCTCCTGTAGCGAATCGATGCGTTTTTGTAAGAAAAATATCCATATTCAAAACGTAATAATCACTTTAATCTAGCCTGCGCCAGCAGTTGTACACAGAAGCAGCTCCGGCGGATGACGTATGAGTTCAGCGCTGCGCGTGCGCCGGTGAGTCTCGTGAAAACCAGCGTTTGTTAACAGGAGCAAAGGAAGCAAAGTCTCCTTACTTTAGCAAAGGAAAACCAGTCTCCTCTTGGCTTGTATCAAAATCCTCCGACATTCTTCTTTACAAATCCTCGTTTTGTACTTCTAATTAGTGACTGTTGTTTCGATTCGATCTCTCCGCGTGCGTCACTTCTGAGCGGCGCCTGCGCAGCGCTGAACTCATACGTCATCCGCCCGGAGCTGCTTCTGTGTACAACAGTGAGCGCAAGCTACATTAAAGTGATTATTACGTTTTGAATATGGATATTTTTCTTACAAAAACGCATCGATTCGCTACAGGAGGCCTTTGTTCACTCCCCGGAGACATTTTTAATGGATGGGCGCTTTTTATTTCACGTCTTTTGGACTGATGCATGCAACACCCGCTGAGTGCAACGATAGAGCTTGAAAGATCAAAGACCATTTTTAATATAACTCTGACTGGATTCATCTGAAAGAAGAAAGTCATATACACCTAGGATGCCTTGAGGGTGAGTAAAACACAGCCTAATTTTTATATTTGGGTGAACTAACCCTTTAAACAATTCGGATAAGGTATCTAGAGTTATTTATGGAGCAAATAAAATCATTATTAATCAATTATCATTTTGACTTATCCCTTTTCTTTATTTAAAGGATGAAATTTAAGGTTTACCATTTTATAAAACCTTTTCAATGTTTTATTTGAACATTTCGTACATGTTATTAGATAAACTGTTGTCGTTTAAAATCCAGACATCATTGGTAATGTTATTGTTTTAGTGTTTATGCAAACAAAAAGTCATTTTATTTGTTGTTTGTTGATTTTAAATGTAAAACTTGGTGGAGTGATTTATGTGTCAGTACTTTTTGAACATTTCCAGCACATTTTAACAATACCGTGATAATTTTGGTCACTATAGTCGTTATAAGAAATTTAGTTTCTACTCTACTCGTAGGACTTCTTCTCTGTCAACTTTGATCTGGGCTTTGACTCTGAGGAGGAGGAACCGACTGATCTGGGAGCAGCAGACGTCACTGCATCAGCTGTGAAAGCGCCTCCGGTCGGAGGAAACCCGGCGCTCTTGAGATCTGAGCGATCGCCGCGGGTCTCAGATCAGTGTAGGACGAGACCCAGCGCTTCCACACCAAACCACACGATCCTGCCTCCACTGGGCCGAAGAGCAGAAGATCAGCCGAGCTCGCGTCCATCAGCGCTCCGATCCGCACACACGAGGCCTCAGTGCCGGCCCTCATGCACAGGTTTACAGGCTTTCCTCGTATAGTTATGATATGTGTCCCTGGAGCACAAAAGCAGTCTTAAGCAGCACAGGTATATTTGTAGCAATAGCCAACAATACATTGTATGGGTCACAATCGCTTCAGTGCCGGCCCTCATGCACAGGTTTACAGGCTTTCCTCGTATAGTTATGATATGTGTCCCTGCAGCACAAAAGCAGTCTTAAGCAGCACAGGTATATTTGTAGCAATAGCCAACAATACATTGTATGGGTCACAATTATACATTTTTCTTTTATGCCAAAAATCATTAGGATATTAAGTAAAGATCATGTTCCATGAAGATATTTTGTACATTTCCTACCGTAAATATATCAAAACTTAATTTGTGATTAGTAATATGCATTGCTAAGAACTTCATTTGAACAACTTTAAAGATGATTTTCTCAATATTTTCTCACATTCCAGATTTTCAAATAGTTGTATCTGAGCTAAATATTGTCCTATCCTAACAAGCCATTCATCAATGGAAAGCTCATTTAGCACAAATCAGTGTTCATTCAGAGGTGTTTCAGGACTGATGTGTGACGTCTCTGTGTTTCAGGCGTGTTGAGCAGTGACAGCGAGGATGAGACGAATCTGAGGACTCATAAAATCAATCCGGTGTTTTCTCCAGAGGTCAGATTTGTCGTGTGACACTAGCTATGCTTCCATCCAGGAATTCTTTTGGAATATCACATAAAAAAACCTGGATGCAAACTCCAAGATGTGCATTAAATCTTAACGTATGCAGAAAAAACATGCAATCTATTGAGGTTTTATTTGATTAAAAAAAACATGCTCTTAAACTATGATGGAAACACATTTACCAAATACGTCTTTATTTTTAGATTTTGTATATATTAACGTAATTTTGCTTAAAGTTGTTGTAATAGTGTAACTTATTTTTGTCTTTTTTTTTTTATTATGTCTACTGTTAACCTAAAAAAAAAAATTTTAACCAAATGAAATGTTTCCTTGAAAACTAGCTGAAATAAGTTTTTTTATTTTGTTACAGTTGTAGTTTAAGAAAGAGTTTAGTTTTTGTTAACTATAATAACCCTGATCCGAATAACATGACAGTAGGGCTGGCCGATTTCATATCAGTCGATATCTTTAATCATCACGATAAATGTCGAATCTTTATTTCTTTCGAGTTTAAAGCTAGGTTTTTGCTCCAAAGTGAAAGATGTTCCTTAATTATCCTTAACAAAATAAATATCTTAATAGAAAAATGTATTTCTTAGTTCCTGCATGTTCTAATGAGTGATATTGTTTCTAATCAAGAAACAGGTTTGTGTTGCCTGATAATATTAATAATAATATTACTTTTTTTGTCTCTTAGAAATCCACATTTGAATTACTTAGGATGCAGGTTCTAAATTTTTGTTCATTATCAAAATCAGTTACATCTGTAAAAATTGTAGCAACCTTAAAATAGTTTTTTTTTATTAACCATTGGTCTCCCATAGCATCATACATTTAAATAATGATAAACACAGTTAAAACCACTCATATTGCACCTCAATACCATGGTAAAAATACAACTAAATGGTTTAAAGGTATTTGTATGAAAAAGTCAAGTCGTCACCTTTATTTATAGTGTTTTTAACAATACAGATTGTGTCAAAGCAGCTTTACAGTATTAAATGGGAAAATAGTGTCAATAATGCAAAAGGACAATAGTAAACACTCAATTTTCAGTTAAAGTCAGTTCATCATTTAATTCAGTGATGTCATCATCCAGCTCAGTTCAGTTTAAACAGTATCTGTGCAATCAAGTCAACAATATCGCTGGAAATTAAGTGTCCCCAACTAAGCAAGCCAGAGACAACAGCGGCAAGGAACCAAAACTCCATCGGTGACAGATTGGAGAAAAAACCTTGGGAGAAACCAGGCTCAGTCGGGGAGCCAGTTCTCCTAAATTCCAGGCTGCAGCAAAGTTAGATTGTGCAGAGGACTCAACTGGTTCCTGTGGTCTTGTCCCGGTGGCCGTCTAGGAGACAAGTGGCGCTTTTCCACTGCACGGTACGGCTCGGTACGGTTCACTTTTGGGGGGTTTTCCACTGGGTACAGTACCTGGTACCTGGTACTTTTTTTAGTACCACTTCAGTTGGGGTTCCAAGTGAACCGTACCGTTACCAAAACGTGACATGTAAACTCTGCTGATCACGGATTGGCCGGAGAGAATCGTCACTGAACTTGTGACACAAACACAACAGAACCGCTAGATTTAAATCAGCACAGCCAGCGAAGGATCGAACGCAACTGTTTTGAACGAGCACACCTTTTTTAACAACCAAAAAGTGGCCGTTTCGTTGTCTGTTACGGAAGTACAGACGCTCCTCTCGTTGATAGCAGAGGAGCGGATCCAGCGAGAGCTTAATGGGGTGACACGGAATGAAAACGTTTTTCAGGAGTCGCGGCAGTAGAGGCAGCGCATCTAACAACATGTGAATAATCCCGCCCACTCTAAAGCGATACTAAACTGCAGTGGAAACGCAAACCGAGCCGTGCCGTGCCATGCCGTACTGAGCCGTGCCAGTCGTACCACGCAGTGGAAAAACGCCAAAGGTCTTCACTGGGGATCTGTCTCTGGGGCTCATCTAGTTGTCCTGGTCTCCGCTGATATTCAGGGCTGTAGAGGTCCTCTCTAGGTGCTGATCCACCATCTGATCTGGATACAGACTGGATCTGGTGGTTACGGTGACCTCGGAATAAGAGAGAAACAGACTAATATTAGCGTAGATGCTATTCTTCTAACGATGTAGCAAGTACGGCACCGACCCCCACCGTCGTTTAGATTTTTTTTATAGTAATAAAAATTATTTAGTTCAGTAAAAGAACGAGTGAGGCGAGACAGACGAGACGAGACAGACGAGACTATCGCGGATGATTTAGTTTCGAAACGAGATGCAAAAGCGCCTGTTTGACAGTATTTTGGATTTTGAAAAGCCTGTTGACTTTTGCCGTTTATCTGATTTTGGAAGTTTTTTTTAAACATTCGTTTTTTATTTAATTGGTTCCACATTGTTTGCTGATTTTTACTTTATTTAAACTTTGTGTCATTTATTTTATTTTTTTTACATCAAGGTGTATGCCGTGCCTCCAAGCTTTCTTACTCGTTTTGCTAATAAACGTTCTACGTTTCTTATTTATTATACATGTAAATGTTTAGTTATATATTATACATGTTTACTTAGCCTATTTCCAGTTTTGTATACCTATTTAAACTTTATGTAAGTTATTTGTTATTTTATATTAGGCATAGCCTACCCTATAGCATGGTGTGTTTTTATTTGTTTTGTTAATAAAAGTTCTATGTTTTATATATAGGCTAAAGTGAGTTTGACGTTGTATTTTGTTGTTGCATTCAAGCAATTGACGCCGAACTGCCGCTAATTCGAAAAGCGAGGAATAGAGGGAAAATTAAAACGAACTAAAAACGAACAATTGCTTTACGCCGAATTGCCGCTATTTGAAAGTGAAAGTAAAATGCGCACGCAGCTTTTACAAGCTATTTAAAAGCGAAGGAAAGCAAGTAGAAGAGGGAACGCCCCCGCCTCATGGTGATACCGGTGTTGTCACACGTCGATTAACCCGGTGGGAAAACTTCCTCACCGCCACAACCCTACCCCGAATGCCCAACTAATTGAGTTGTTAACGTTTGTTAGTAGGGAGGTCCTAGTAAGGGCAAGATAAAAATAATGCTTTCTGCCTAAAGGCCTGAAGTTTTGCAAAAGATTAGCACATTAACAGTGCAAATTGTCAAGGTGGGGTCAACAGCTGCATTTTAAGTGCGACATCCTGAACAAACACAGGAGATGAGATATAAGAAAGCTAATTAATACCAATAAAACAATTCAAATAACACTAATACTAATAAAGGTGTTTCAAAAGACTCTAAATAAATAATGCAACTGTTAATCCAACTGTTATTTGCTGGCCCATTAATGTTGGCATGTAAAGCAGGCAACATGCAAACAGGCTGGTTTTGAATTAAATAATAAAAAAGTCCATGCCTTCTTGTCCTTCCGCATCAAATATATTTGTTTAGAACAGTTTTGGACTGTTTTTACTTGTAAACAGAAGAACGAGTGAGGCGAGACAGACGAGACGAGACAGACGAGACTATCGCGGATGATTTAGTTTCGAAACGAGATGCAAAAGCGCCTGTTTGACAGTATTTTGGATTTTGAAAAGCCTGTTGACTTTTGCCGTTTATCTGATTTTGGAAGTTTTTTTTAAACATTCGTTTTTTATTTAATTGGTTCCACATTGTTTGCTGATTTTTACTTTATTTAAACCGTGTCATTTATTTATTTTATTTGACATCAAGGTGTATGCCGTGCCTTCAAGCTTTCTTACTCG